ACTTCACCATCTACCCCAGTGACCCAGGGAATGGTCAAGTACAGGCATCTTGCAGTTGCACGGAGTCTCATCTCAGGACAGAATAAATTCTCAGAGAATCGTTGTATGCCATTTGTGCAGGTTTCTCTGTTTCAGAACATGATCACATTTTATGAAAATTGAAACCAGACTATTGTGCTTCCCTTGGGATGCTTAGGTTTCAAGAAAAAAAAAAAAAAGGGTTCATTTTTTTACTGACTAAAATCTCAGGTTGATGCTGGCAACAACTGCTGGTTCTTTGTTTTAAAACTACTGAAAGAAAAACCAAGACTATCATTTAGATTAGAGAAACAACTTAACCTTGGTGGTCAGAGAAGCGGGACAGAGCCCCAAGCAGAACCCATTCCTGGCCAGGTCTCTAGCCACGACGGACTGCTGGTTTGTCTTCATCAAGGCATGGGGCCAGGACAAGTGGAACCTCTCTGCAAGTGCAGAATTCTGACAGGCACTAAGAACACCAGCCTGGAGAGAGGGGAACTTAAGAAGCCATAATCTTCCCCAAGTTACTAACTAAACAGTAGTGGAATTTTGTTTTCATGGGGTCTGTTCTTGTTTCCACAGCCAGAAGGTTGTCCCCTCTTTTTCTGTTTATTTTCTTAAAATTTTTTTAAAAGATTTTATTTATTCATTTGAGAGAGTGAGAGCACGAGCAGGAGGGCAGAGGGAGAGGGAGAAGCAGGCTCCCCACTGAGCAGGGAGCCCGATGCGGGGCTCGATCCCAGGACCCCAGGATCACGACCTGAGCCAAAGGCAGACACTTAACCGACTGAGCCACCCAGGCGCCCCTTTGTGTTTATTTTTAAGAAAAGATTTGACTTTTTTTTTTTAAATTCACCTTTTTTTTTTCATTCGTATGAGTTTTGATAAGATCCATGTACCACCACCACAGTCAAGACACAGAGCAATTCTGTCAGTCCCCAAAATTCTCTTGTGCTGCCCTTTTGTAGTAAAATCCTTCCCGACCTCCATCCCCTGACAACTACAGCTTTGTTCTGTGTCTGTGGTTTTGCCTTTGATGCCGTACGAATGGGATCATATGGTACGTAGCTTTTTGCGTCTGATCTCTTCTATTGAACATAACGCACTTGAGATTTATCCCTGTTGTATGTATCCATAGTTTGCTCCTGGTAGTATTCTTGTGTATAGGTGTGCCACAGTTTGTGTCTTCATTCATCCACTGAGGACATGTGGGATGAGGTAATTATAAATAAGGTTGTTGTAAACATTCATGTGCAGGTGGTTGTGTGGACATGTGTGTTCATTTCTCTTGGGTCCTTTCTCATTTTGAATGGGCATAACTCTTTGGCTTCCATCCCCCTTTTTTTGTCTCTTCTTTCCCAATTTAGTCAGAAGGAAGCGTAGATCAGTTAAAGAACATACAGCCTGAACTGCCTGGGGGGCTTAGTAGGTTAAGTGTCTGCCTTAGGCTCAGGTTGTGATCCCAGGGTCCTGGGATCGAGCCCTGAGTCAGGCTCCCTGCTCAGCAGGGGGACTGCTTCTCCCTCTGCCTGCCGCTCCCCCTGCTCATGCACCTTCTCTCTCGCTCTCTCTCTTTGTGTCTCTCTGTCTCAAATAAAATCTTAAAAAAAAAACAAAAAACTGTACAGCCCTAGATCAGGCAACTTTTCCAAGGCCCAAGGCTGCTGCTTCTCACCCTATACTTGTTAGACCTGTATTCTGGGGTTTGGAGGCAAAACGGCATTTCCACTGACACCAGGTGGCTGGAGTGGTGATAGAATTAGAGCCATCGTCTTCCAGATGGGATCATTTTGATCAAGGGAAGGAAAGTGAATGTCATAAGTATTTAAATATAAGCAGAACTTAAAAATAATTTTGTTGAGTGTTATATATCTTCTTGTGAATGCTATTTGTGTTTTATGGGCAACCTATTTTTCTTTTTAATCCGAGACTTACAAGTAAAGATCTCAAGAGAGCCAGTTGTGCCAATTTGACAAAGGTTTCAAAGTTGGTGGTGTGAAGGGAGGTCAGGAACGGAGAATCAGGGTCCACACACGTGAAGATGCTAAATTTTGCGGGAGGAAGAATAAATGAAGACTAAAGAGTGCAGTTGAAGCCTTGATAGAAAAGCACATACTGTGAAGACGGGGAGACAAATCCTAAATGACTGATTAAATCAAAATCAGATGCGCATGTATTTTAGAATCCACAGCTGATCTGATACTCTAGGTCAAGGGAAGAGAAAATGAGAAGAAATCTGATCACTGATAGAGTTGTCTGTAATTTTATTTTAAAAAAGCAGTTTTAATATAGAAATGGGAAGTAGGCCTAACTAAAAGCTGGTAGAAAGGAGAAATGAATTTGAAGCAAATGGCAAACAGTGAAAGGCATTAGAACAAAATTCACAAGGACTGGAAATGATTTAACCTATGCATGTCAGCTTACTTTGTCAGATTTAGAAAACTTCAAAAGAGATCTTTAAAGAGTGGTTTGTATTTGAAATTTTATAAAAGATATGTAATCTCTTGATAGATATTACGTCTTCATTTTTACGGAAGCAACTGACTGGGTAGTGTCATCATTTTTCAATCAGATCCAGAAAAATATTTTTTTAAAAGAAAATGTCTTATGCTAGAGATTTTCCCACCAAACTTCACATAAGGCAAAGTAAGAAGGAGTGACAGCAGATTTTTCTGAGTGGTAGGAATGAAAATATTTTGAAAAGTCCAATGGAAAATTCTTTGAAGTCCCTATTTTAATTAGATGCAACTCAAATTATATAGAAAAGCAGTAAGTCGAAAGTCATTATGAACATAAAATTGCATTAGAGGCAAAATAAAACTAAAAATGTTCTCCAAGTGATTTATAATATAAAGAAGCAGTTCAGGGAAAAATATAGTAAAATTTTAAACCTTATATGGGACTGAGATTAAAGGGTATCATTCCAAATAGTAAACAGTAATGGACATCAAGCCTATCCTCAAATTGCTTCATTTTGAGAGTTACTTCAAGATGGGCTTCCTTTACTTGGTTAGCCTTGGTCTAGACCAGAGGTCCGAAGAGTATGGGCCCTGCCTGAGACCCAATCTGTCTCACTCCCTGGTATTGCAAATAAAGTTTTATTGGAATGCAGCCACATCTATTTGTTTAGATATTGTCTAGAGCTGCCCTCTCTCTATAGTACAAAGTTGAGTACAGATCTTCCTCAACGGACAATGGGGTTACATTCTGATAAATCCACTGTAAGTTGAAAACATCGTAAGTCAAAAATTTATTTACTACACCTAACCTACTGAACATGTTAGCTTCGCCTAGCTGACCTTAAATGTGCTCAGAACACTTACATTAGCTTACAGTTGGGCAAAGTCCTCTAACACAAAGCCTGCTTTATAGTAGAGTATTGAGTATCTCATGTAATTTTTTGAATACTGTGCTGAAAGTGAAAACAGTTGTGAGTGTATTGGTGGTTTACCCTCATGATTGTGTGGCTGACTGGGAGCTGTGGCTCACTCCTGTTGCCCAGCCTCACGAGAGAGGATCATACCAAATATCACCAGTGCAGAAAAAGATCAAAATTCTAAGTACAGTTTCTGTTGAATGCCTATTGCTTTTGCACCATTGGAAAGTCAAATTTAAGTCAAACCACCAGTAAGTCAGGGACAGTTTGTAGTTGCTATAGAGCATATGGCCCACAAAGTTTAATATTTACCTTCTGACTCTCCTAAAGAAGTCTGCCCACCGTGAACTCTAGAGTCACCCGTCTGGAACCAAGGCTTCCCTTAGTTGGTCAATTTTGGTCTAGATTTAGTTCCTAGGACCCAGATACTGATTTTCATTCAGGGAGATTGAATTGCACTAACAAAACTCATAGCAGACTGTATTTAAAACAGAGAAATTCCAAATTTTTAGTCAGAAATTTAGGGGAGTAGAATATTGTGTTGGTTAGTGAATGAATAGTCTATGTTTGCTCAACAAATGGTATTTGGAAGGTTGTTTGGTGTGCATGAGGTCAGTGCCTGAGGATAACTAACTGGACAAGTCTCTGTCGTCTGCCAGTTTTCTCTCCAAACCATTCATTCCCTGCCCTTCCTTGTATCCTGGGGAACAGTCCAGTTTTCCTTGCCAACTGGTTTCTGGGAAGGTTTGGCAATGGGAGACAATGATAGAAGACTGGGGGAGGGGAGGAGCCTGGGTGTTTCTCTCTCCTCCTGCTTTAGGTGGCATCTCTGGAGTGATGATGTCTGTTCCGTGGCTCTGCTCCACTGAGCAGCCTCACCTTTTGGTCCAGATCCTACTGGCCAGTCCCAGCCTCTGGCTGGAGTAGCTATTTCTTTTTTTTTTTTTTTTTTTTCCCTCTAGTCCCAGGAGTGGTAGAACTTCCTACTGACCCTAATCTCTAAGTTGCTTCAACCTCTTCTTTTTGCTTTTCATCTTTTCCTTGTAAACCAGTTTCCTTTGTTTGAAATAGAGTGGTTTCTGTTTTTCAGACATGACCCCAACTGGTACCGGCATCAAGGCCTCTGCCCAGATTAACCCTGGAGACTTACCTGTTCACATTCTTACTGTCAGGATTCCCCTTTTTCCAGTTGCTGGCCACACCTGCCTTCTCTTATTCAAAGTCTGTGGTCATGCTACACAACTTGCTAGGCCAGACTTGCATGCCAGCCATTGTGTTTGTGATTTGCATGGTGCCAAAACCCAGCTCTGTGCTTGCAGGATATTACTTAATATCAACCACTTTCTAATAGATTCTGTTCACTATGTATTATTTTAAAATAATGTATTCTCAAAAGTCAAAATCAGTAATAACACTGAATTATACTGTGGTCCCTATGTATTGGCTATGCCTTCCTTCACTGCCTTCAAACTACCAGATTCTTCTGCTTGCCCCAGAAGTCCAGGACGGGGAGAATCCCAGCAACAGTCCTGCACTTCCAGAATCTTCACCCTATGCTGCTTTCCTGCTTGGTGCTGTAGCTGCCTGAGCTGAACACTCTTGTCAGGCCCCACGCAGGCCCTAGCCCTTTTTCCACACCCTCTTTTAGGCTGGACAACCCTATTCATCTGCTGTATCGTTAAAATTTTACCAGCATTTCTGGTCTAATGTGAAGCTAAGATTGTAGAGATGTCACCAAGCCTGACTGGTCAAACAAAAAATAATTGCATGGAATTTAAATTAAAAAACTCTAGTGGTGGCTGGTGGCTCAGTCAGTTGAGTGTCTGACTCTGGATTTTGGCTCAGGTCATGATATCAGGGTTGTGAGATCAAGCCCTGTGTCATGCTCCATGTTCAGCGTGTCCCTCTCCCTCTGTCTCTCCCCCTGCTGGCTTGCTCTCTTTCTCAAATAAATAAAATACTTCTCTTTTTTTTAAAGATTTTATTTATTTATTTGATAGAGAGAGAGAGCGAGAGAGGGAACACAAGCAGGGGGAGTGGGAGAGGCAGAAGCAGGCTTCCCACTGAGCAGGGAGCCCGATGCGGGGCTTGATCCCAGGACCCTGGGATCATGACCTGAGCCAAAGGCGGATGCTTAACAACTGAGCCACCCAGGCACCCCTCAAATAAATAAAATCTTAAAAAACAAAAAAACCAGCCTGCCATTTTCCCCAGGTTTTTTCACCAAGCACCGTATTTTAGTTGGCTATTTAGATCCATGTAGCAATCCAGGTGATAAATTTTAAAAACTGTTTATTGTGAGTAGCAATTAATAATGAATAACTTGGACCGAAGTCTTTTCTCTTCACATCTCATTTTATTCTGCATCCCCCATGAACGGGGGGTGGGGAAGCATTATTGCTATTATAAAAACTAAGAAACTGAGGCACAACAATCTCAGATACCAGGTAAGGGTTGGTCCCCTGACATTTTACCTCCAGTATGAGGCCTATGTGAGACCTTTGTGTGCAATTGGAAGCAAAGGTTAGGGAGGCCAGCAAAGGGGGTGCTGCCCTATCAGATGTCAGGCTTGCCCCTTTGTGGTCTTGTCTCTGGGTGGTCACTGCTGCTTTCCATGACCCTACCTAGGAAGCTGACAAAGACTGGCTGTGGCCATGGAGGGGCCTTTTCTCTCACTCGCCGAGGCTGTCTCTGCTTCCTGGTTGCTGTGGCTCTTCCCTCCTACTGGTACCATGCCTCGCTTAGCTCTGCCACAGTAGCTGTGACGAACATCACCGCTGGGCAGACAGCAGGACCATGACCGTCATGGTGCCTGGATTCCCAAGGAATCATACGTAATGGACCCTGTGTGGGATAGTCCTCTGTGATGATGACATCCACCTTGCTTGAATCCAAAATAATTGGTTTTAAATATTGAAGCTCTCTTGGTTCTCAGGCTGTGATTCTTGGAGGTGATGCAGCTAATGCAAAAGGGGGCCAGACCGGGATATGGTGCTCATCTTGCTCGTGGGTTATAGAGGTGCATCGAGTAAAAATGAGACTGGGAACTGGTAACAGCTTTGGACAGGGATGGTAAATTAAATGTTCACTTTTCATATCTATTTTATAATTTAGTTTTCAATTGTTTCTACAAAAGCTGTTCTAAAATGTAATTACATTTGTGGTTGCCTTTTTTACACACTGCTTGAGGTACAGATGTCCTATCACTTGATACCAGATAGAATGTTTGATAAAGGCAACTTAGCAAAGATAAACTTTATTTTTTATCAGTTAATTATTTTAATTAATTAATTAACTCACAACCCTGAGAGCAGGACCTGAGCTGAGACTGAGAGTCGGACGCTTAACTGACTTGAGCCACCCAGGTGCTCTCAAAGATAAACTTTAACTACATATGTGAATCTTCCTTTGCTTTTTGTCCCACTGAAATCCGAACCACAGCGTGCTACAAACATGAGAGTTTTCATCATTGTGCACTTAGTCTGTCTCTATTAACGTATGGCCACCTGCAGTGACTCTGCAGAGACCTTCAGCCACAATCGAGGTTCGTTAAAACTGTTTATCAGAAGTGGTCAGTGGGTAGCAAAAAAATGTCATCCTTTCATAATGTAAAGCCCATTTTTCAGTCCCTTTCAAAATAGAAAACACTTTACCTGTTGCAGCAGTGCCTGTTGCAAGGCCTTGGGTGGAGAAGGTCTCCTCCTGCTGCCCCAGCGTCCTTCTGCTTCTAGTGTGTTTGGCTGCAGCTGCCGCTTCACGGTCATGCATCATCTCAGGACTCCAACATACGGAATCAGAAGCTGGATTTTAACCAGATGCCGAGGCAGTTCGAACGCACAGTGAAGTTTGAAGAGCAGTGCTCTAGACGTGGCTGGAAATGGCAGATCTCTCGTTTGTGTTTGATTTCTTTTTTTTTCTCCTGGAAGAAAAAACATAAGTGTTGCCGAGACTCAACAGTGGCAGCTCTGACATGATACCTTTCCATCTTTGGGACCTTGTGGTGTTGACAACTGTAGCGTTGTCAGATTTTAGTAGTGGTGAATGGCCTTTATTCGGAAAGAACAAGAGCTCCCGCCATGATCGCTTTCGATTCGATTGAAACCTCTGTATTTCCTAAAAATGTGTAGGTGGTTCATGGTTACCCATGAAAATACCCCTATCTCTTAACACGTGTCTTTTCAAGAACCATAGGATGCTGTCTTTTTGTGGGAGAATGTTACCGCACTCAGAAATTCCAATTGAGATGTGTCCCTTATTTTAAATTAATCCAAGGGACGCCTGGGTGGCTCAGTCGGTTAGGCGTCTGCCTTCAGCTCAGGTCCTGATCCCAGGGTTCTGGGATCGAGCCCCGCCTCGGGCTTCTTGCTCAGCAGGGAGTCTGCTTCTTAACTTCTCCCTCTGCCCCCTGCCCTCTCACTCTCTGTCTCAAATAAATAAATAAAAATCTAAAAAATTAATTAGTAAATTAATTCAACTCTAGGCCAAAAATGCCCTTTTTCCAGCAGTAAATTTCCTTCCTAACCTCCCTCCCTTACTTCCTCTCTCATTGCCTTCCTTTATTTTCTTCCTTTTTATTTTTCCTTTTTTTTCTTGTCTATAATGTAAAAGTATGTGAGGTCTCCAGCTTTTTAGAATTACATAGAAAATGCTACCCACTTTTTAAATTTTTTATTTTTATTTTTATTTATTTTTTTTTAAAGATTTTGTTTATTTATTTGAGAGAGAGAATGAGAGAGAGAGAGTACATGAGAGGGGTAAGGTCAGAGGGAGAAGCAGACTCCCCGCTGAGCAGGGAGCCCGATGTGGGACTCGATCCCGGGACTCCAGGATCATGACCTGAGCCGAAGGCAGTCGTGTAACCAACTGAGCCACCCAGGCGCCCCAGCCACTTTTTAAATTTTTTAAAAGATAAAATATATTAGTAATAACCTGGGAGACATTTGTTTTCATTTGCTCGATCTCAGTGCTAAAACTTGCCAATAATTTGAGTGACAGAAGCCAGTTTAGTTCACTAAGAAGAATCCTGACTCTACCCTAGAGATCGAAAAATATATTTCATATGTGAATTTTTCCATAGAGATCCTTGATTATTACCTGTATCCTTAAATGATTGAAAAACTCTTTTATTGGCTTTTTCTCTGGGGTTTTGAGACTTTTTGAGACTTTTCCATCTTAGTATAAAAATCCTTTGAGAAATTATCCTCTCTGAACATAAAAATGGCAATCAAAGCTGAAAGCTCTAAAAGATCACCTTTTAGTAAGTTATAGTCAAGTTGTTTGGAAAATAACCAAATAATTACACAGTGATATTGACAGATCAAGAAAATCAATCTAGGTCAATAAGACCAAGGAATTTTTTTCCTCACTATTAGGGAGATAATATGCCCTGAATTTAATCAAAGTACCCTGTGTCTGGTTTTGATCGTGTCAAGACAGGCACTAATGCTTAGCCTAGAACTTCTGATTCTTACGTGATAGACTGTTTCTACCATATGGACATACCCAGCCACAGACTTTTCTTGATGAATCCAAGAAATAAGAGCTCTTGCAGTGAGTTGCCAGGTTACAATACAACTGATCTATTTGGAATTTACTGGAGCTACAATAAAGCTCATCTATTTTTGGTATTTCTGATGGGGCTGACCTGTTTTCTCTCTGAAAAAATTTTGACTTAGAATGCTAATAGTTTAAGGATGATTTCACACTTTTGCAAAAGAGTAAATTTTTTAGACCTCGATCAGTCTGTATTCATTTTTTTACAAATAAGCAAATAATATTCTAACAGGTTATTTACCTGTTATTAAAGCAATTCCACATAAAAATTAGGCAAGCCTTGATCTACTTGCAAATAATTAATCTGAAGTTATTTAAAAATATATGTTGTACATTGTAGTACTCAGTGATAATAGTTCAGCCTTGATACTAATTTCCATTAGTGGTCAGCCAAGTATTTTACATTATTTCTGTTTTGTGGCTTGTATGTCTTCAGTGTTTTGGGGGGAATCTTTGCAAAAAAAATTGTAAAAATATATCAGGCGGATCTAATATTACAAAGATCTTTTAGTTTCATAAATTGTCACAGCAGGATGCTTACTAAGGTGCTGTAACTGCTTAGAAAGATGTGGAACATGAACACTTAAAGTTTTGTTTGTTGTGGATTTGTTTTGTTTATTGTGAATTCTTGATACGGTAAACTGCTTTAGTGTTAAGACATGTTTTATTTGTGTCTATAAAGTATTTGGGAAGTGTACACTAAAAAGTGACGTAAACGAGGCATTGGTATCCTGTTTTTGGATTAGGCGTCAGTATCTGAATTGCTGTTTGCTCATTTGTTGACAGTGCAGTAATCACTTTTGAGAGCTTCTCTATGGAAAGGAAACATTAATATTTTTGCAAAGAATAAACTGACCTCACACATTACAGAGCTATACTCTTCTGAAATTTAAAGTATAATTAGTACAGTGCTAAAATTACTAAGGAACAAAATAATTTTTTTTTACATATATACTGAACAAATGATAGCTTTTAACAATTGCACCTTGTTCGGGCGCCTGGGTGGCTCAGATGGTTAAGCGTCTGCCTTCGGCTCAGGTCATGATCCCGGGGTCCTGGGATCG